AACCATCGTTTACAAGCTAAAACAGTCCAAAACAGTTCTGAACAAATATGTGTGTGGATTTTGATGTGAGATGATAACAGTGGACAACAGTTTCTCTGGAGGAAGCATTATTATGGATTATGGAGTCATTTTTTATTTGTCTAGAAGCGATGGTTTAAAGTTAAACCGCATTAGTGATTGATTTATTTTATAATACACAGCTTTTTGCTTCACAAGACATCATTTGATAGACTGGAGTCGAGTGGATTACTTGTGGATTATTATGATGTTTTTATCAGCTGCTTGGACTCATTCTGACGGCACCCATTCACTGCAGAGGATCTGTTGGTGAGCAAGTGGCGTAATAATACATTTCTCCAAATCTGTTCCCATGAAGAAGCACACTCATTTACAGTACATTTTGGACGCCCTGAGGGTGAGTAAATTTACATTTCTGAGAGAACTATACCTTAATGTGGCTATACTGAATTATTTTGGTCTGGAATAATTTGGGTTTGTATTGAGATCTCTAACTTTTGATTCTAGACTTTGGCAAGTCTGAGCACATGCAGTTTGTGACATTGAGATCTTTTTTAAAAAAATCTTTGTGAGTCTTTTTCTCAGGAGACAAAATCTGAGAAGCAGCTATGTTTTTTAACCATTTTATAGATGTTATTATTCAATTGATTTGTACTTATATTTATTGCATATGGTAAAAGTGATTTTTTTTTTATTATTCAAGAATGTATCCATTATTCCATATTTGAGACATTTCTGCTTTTTCTCTTTTTTCACCACTACTTCTTTACAGACACTATTTTTTCCACTCACATTGTGCTCCATTTATTTCACTCCTAATTTATTTGAGTGTGTTTATTGTTCTCTGTCTACCTCATTATAGGCTCTGAATAGGTCTGTTGTATCCAGTTGTTAGTAAGAGATTTGGAGCATGCACAGTATGTGAGCACGTCTGTACTAACATTGTGATAAGGGAAAGGGAGATGTAAAGAGAAAAATAGCCGTTTGAGTTTGTTTAGGAATGTAGAAGACCTAAAAACGGAGAGCTAGACATTCCTGAGCTGGAGCAACAGCAATTTGTCAAACAGGGACAGACAGCATCTGGTTCTCATGGAGAGCAGATTGATGTGTTCCAGCACTTGGACTTATGGGTAATGTAGTCCCTATTGAGTTGTATTTTTGGCTGTGAAGTGAAAAATGAGTAAAAGGAACTCATAGAATAGTTTCCAAAGTGGTTGAAGTGAGAATGGGGTTAACGTGCCAATTCTGCTCTTTTTTTGTTTAGCTGGGCCGAAAAAATTTTCCTCATCAGACTCCTGTTATGTAGAATTAAGTGTAGAAAACTGATCTTTTTCTTCTCTCATTTTTAGGGTCTATTTACACTTATTCACTTAATTTGTCTTAATTGTTTGAAATGCTTTGCACATTTTTGTCATGCACATAAATGTTTCTCCAAAAATGAATACAAGTATGATTATTCCAACTATTCCTGCATGTGGTATTTCCAGTTATAATCAATGATGGTGTTAATGCTGTTTGGAATGAGAAAAGTTTACGTAAGTGGCAAACAAAACCTGATTGCATCTAATCAAGTGTTGTTTGTGTTCACCTCATTCTTGTTACTCTCCCTGTTTTCGGAGAAAATCCAGAGTTTTTAGATTTTGTGTGCCTCTCTTTCTATAATTCATACATTTGCATGAATTCAGTGGTTCTTTTCTGTTTTTGCCTTGTGTCAGTGACCAGGCATGCGTTAGTGCGAGAGAAAACAGAGAGAGACGGCTGTTGTATAAATCCAGATCTGGTTTCTGAGACTTCTTTTTTTTCTGTATAAAACTTTAAAGGGGTTGTTGCATTATTCACCACTTCAACCACAGGACACACGCGCACACATGCTTACATTGAACCACTGAGAGCCTGCTTCTTCTTCTGCCTTTGTGTGTGTGTGTTTTGGTTCACTGAATGTTATAGGTGATATTTGACTTTAATGGCTGTAGTGGGAGAGTGTGTAGTGATTTAACAGGACTTGGGGGAGTATTTGGCTGAGCTTGGTCAGTGTGCTGGATATCATTATATACTTCTGGCAAGTAGTTATAATGTTGAATCACACATGACAGTGAAAGATGGTCTTTAGAAATCCACCAGGATATTCACACGTTCACAGTATGCGCTCACACACTGGCACGAGTAAGCGTTATTCTGTTACGATTAGTTCAAATCTGAGTCCAGTGAAACTTTACATTCCAGGTCCATGTGTGACATCATCATCTAATAAGAATAATTTACCTTACAGGTCAGGATGATTCAGGGATATACTGTTTATTACAGCAATAAACATACATATTACTTAGAGAGGTTAAAGAGAAAAAGCAAGGGAGAGAGTGGGAAATATCTGGCTCTTATTTGAGCGTCACTGTTGGATCAGCAAACACCCGGGTCCAGCTGTACTCCCTGATCACTGTGTTAAAACACACACACACACACACACACACACACACACTGGAAAAAGAGCCCTGCTTGCCTCAGTTTAAGAGTTTAATAGGCCTGTTAAACTGTAAATTTTATACACCCATGTAAAAGACAAGCTACATATTTACACTTCAACGCCAATTACTTATAATGCAAAAGACAAACAAAACTGCGTTGATACTTCCAGTTATTTTAGTGAACTCTTATTTCTAATTTTCATCATTTCTTTTGCTTTTTGCAGATGAGATGAGCTTGCAAAGTCTGATTTTCCATATGATGTTGCCTTTTTATTTTATATTTTTATTCAATGTACAAGTATTTGTGTCTTTGTACTCTTTCAATCTATGCAAGTTTGGTTTGTTATGATTTCAATTAAATGATGCTGAGTTCCACAACTGGGTGCAACCAGCACAAAATCTTTGTGGGTTTTGTGTGTGTCTGGGTATGAACTGAGAAACAGAGCATCATATTTTTTGTAGACATGACCTTCTGTCTCGCTCTCTCTCTCTCTCTCTCATTTTAATGTGGTAGAATAATTGAATTATTGAACGGCCCTGTCTCATTCTCAGCTATTTATAGAGATGCCCAAGGCAGAATTTCGTATCCAATATTGTGCTAATGGTAAGCTAACATGTCGTGTCATAATTGCTGCTGCGTACTGCACGTTTAAAAACTGGTGTGACTGTACTTTATATTCATGATAATGTTTTCCTCGTTGGTTTAATATTGTATTTGCTGCACTGCAAATCACTGCAGTTTTTATACTGGTATACTAGCAGCACATGTTTTACACTGCTTCGCACAACTGGAAAAAGATTCTGGCAGTAGGTTTGTCGAAAAAAACGTCAAGAAAAGTCAAGGACAAAACAAATACAGCAGATAAATGCAAAAAAAAATTCAATAAAAACACAAAGGCAGTTAATGTTTTTGTTCTGAAAGGCCTCAGGTTTAGATTACAGACATCTGCGATACAGTACGCTGATGGTGAACAGTACATGCCAGGGCTTTTTTGCACAGATGAACAGCGCAAAGGAATTCTGTGTGGGCGTCGTATGGTTTGCTGGTTGTCATGCTTCCTGTTGGAGCTGTTGCTGTGGCAGCAGAGCTTTCCCAGGCGATTTGGCAGGCATCTCTGTGCCCGAATGATCGATTGGTGGAAAAGTGTCAGCCAGCAGGCTTTTACTGATGATGTCATCATTATTGATCTGTCCGTGGGCTGAAATGAAACTAAATAGAAAGTGCTTCCTTTCTTTTAATGCATGTGAATGCAATCACTGCAGGGAGCGCTAAGTGACGCAGCACAATGTTGTTTATGAACTGAAGTAGTTTATTCAGCTTTTGATGCTTTGTGTGTGCGTGTGTGCTTGCACAGTAAACAATATTCATAACTAAAATACTTAGGCCTAACTAAAAAAATAATATAGATAATCTAGCCTGTTTTATATTCAACAAGACATACTTTTGTTAAACTGTTGTTAAACAGTTTTATCTAACACACATACTCAGTCTACATTTCAATTTGCACATAATATACCTGTACATACAACTGTCTATTGTTATATACCTGTACATACAATTGTCGATTTGTATATTTTTATTCCTTATTTACTTGTTCTATTTTTTATTTTTTATTTATTTTTATTTTTTATTATCGGTGTTTTTTTGTTCTGTCACTGTCATTCTGTTACACTGTGGAAGCTTCTGTCACGAAAACAAATTCCTCGTATGTGTAAACATACCTGGCAATAAAGCTCATTCTGATTCTGATAAACTGTTTTTATAAGGAAACATGTATTTGAAATTTACAGTGAAATCAGTAAAAGCATGTTCTCTTAAGCCCCTGAATGATGCATCATTGATTATATTTTGTCAATAGTATTTTTTCTTATTATTTTGCTATTTACAAAAGGGTGTTTTGTTGTTTAGTTTCACTGTGCACATATTATGCACATATTGTATTATTTTATACATGCATGTTTTCCCAATGCATGTTTTCTCAAAAAAAAAAAAAAAAAAAACTACGTAAAAGAAAAAAAAACTTACATAAAAGATTCCAATTTTGTTCGTAATTGTCATTATTTACTTATATATAGATTTTTGTTTTTGTATAATTTCTTTCTATTTGTAAATTTTCTGATAAGCATCTGGTTAAAAAAAAAAGAAACTTGCAAGTCGCTCTAAATAAAGTCTTTAAGCATACATTAAGATCCTCCATGCTTCACCCTCCTCTTTCTCGTATTCTTGCCTCCTCTTTTTACCTGCTGCTCCCCTGGTATTAGTAGTAGGCTATCTTTATTAGGGCACAAAGATATCTTTGTGCACCAAGCAGTCAGAAAGTGCTCAGAGTTTCGGCATCAAGTTCCCTCATCGGCGAAGAACAACAAGGGCACATCGAACGGATTATATACTTCTTGCTCTCCTCCAATACCATCGGTGCAGACAGAAAGAGAGAGAGAGAGGGAGGAAAGACAGACAGGTGTGCTCAGTCTGTAATGAACTCAGTATTATAGGATCACAGTAAGACAGGAATGGATTACGTCTGTTGTCATTAGTATTAACATCATTGCTTGTATCTTAAATAAACACCAAGACTCTGAAGGAGCTTTTGGGACTGTTCTTCAAACTTCAAGACGTGGTTTCTACATTCTTCCTTGTAAGGACTTCCTAAAAGCTACCTTTTCTGTCATGGCTATAAATTTAGCCTCTGGAAGCTCTCTTTATCGGTCACTCGCTTCCCTTTTTCTCTCTCTCTTTTCCTCAGAACCAATCCGTTGTTAGCGGGAGGAGTCCCACTAGTGGACCTGAGGGACGGATAGCGGTGTTTCACGAGTTCGGTGGAGCGTTTGACGACTCCGAAGGTCCGAGGTCCGGTGGGGGGCTTATTGGGGGTGTCGTCTCGGGTACAAGAGAGCGACATGCTCCCGCCTCAGAGAATCGCGGGCCGAGAGCGAAGAGCGTTTCAGTGGCGGAACTCCTCACCGTGGACCACGTAAGTGAACTCTGAATTCACAATATAGATGCTTCAGTATTAGTTTTCCCTCAAAGAGACTCTTACTTACCGTATTCGTCGTAGAAAATTGTCAGTTTAAGTGACATTTAAACGACCGTGTCGTCTGGGAGCGCGACAGTGTTTTCCCGCTGGATGCGCGAGCCGCGCTTGATTAATAACGGTCGCCTCTCTTCATCTCGCACGAGCTTGATAAAATATTCCGGCGCGAAGAGCGTGTGATACGCGTGCTCCTCCTGAATTTCTTCGCTGCTTAGTGCTGAGTGTAGGCTATTAGGTTTGAAAGAACCGAGTCGAGTTTCATTCCGGTCTCATTCAGATAGTCCGGTTTTGTTTTATTTCTCACTTACTTAATATACACAGTTCCCACATTCGCGGAAAATATCAGTGTTATTTAATGTCATATATATGATATTGAATATACGGTTTCTAGTTTAATTTTCTCTAATGTATTTAATCAAGACATTTATGTTTAGGAATAAAGTTTGAATAAAAATGTGTTTGTATTGCCTAGTGCTTATATCAAAACCAGACTTCAGTTATGCTATAGATTTGCAGTCTATTCATTTATGTCTGCTTGAGAGAAAACTGTTCAACTTCATTGGGTCAGTCTTTACATTAAAGGGATCGTGTTACTTTTGGTTTACACTAGCAATTAGGCTATACGCTTTAAAATTGCAAAAGATACTTGAGACACCATTTGTAGTTTCTCAGATCACCCAACTCTCTGGAGAACTTCTAAACCCTTTCAAAAAGGGTGGTTCACTGAGGAACTTGGAAGATAAAGCCCGTAAGTACCTGTTAGAAATCTATAGACTGTCAATGGTTGCTCCAATATCCTCTTAATAAAGGAAAGATTTTGAGGCACTTGAAACATGTAGGCCTGTTGAACTTCCCACAACAATAGGAGGGTGCTTGGAGGTTCACCAGAAATCTCTTGTTACTTGAGTGAATTGCCTAATTACTTCAAGTAACATGGACACTGTAATGTAAAGTGTTACATTTCATTTTTACTGTTTATTTATTTATGATATCCAATACTCCATTGTGCATTTAAGCTAAAGCAATGTTTCATGTAAAGGTTTTTGAAGCAACAGGCTGCAGCCAGATGTTTGTAGATACTGAAGCTGGTTGTGGTATGGATGCATAATGTCATACTGGGAAGATGTGTTCATGTATTCACCCTCTAACTCACTTAAAAAATTCATCCTATTATGGAGAACTGGCGTGCATGTGTGTTTTGTGTGCATATGTGTTATATGTATTATGTATATGTATATGTATTATAAATGTGACAAGAGAAGAGGTTAAACTCCCTATTCCAGATGCTTCTCCGGCCTGAGGGAATGTACAAAGTTTTGTTTTAGTTTAAATGTTTTCCTAATGCTTGCATGTGTTTCTTTCTATGTGACCACAGCCTTCACCAAATCATTGTTTGCAGAATGAGGGGTAAAAAATAGAATTACTGTGCATTGTGGTGTACAGCTAAAAACGTGTTGAGTATAAACATCCATACATGTTCAGTACTTGTGGGAATATAATTTGTTTAAAATGTGACAATACTATGTCTTTATATGCCCTTTATAATTCTTATAAAACGTTTTAACAATGCACTTGAGTTAACATGAGTTCATATAATTTTTAGAGAGATAAATACAGGCTGTTCTCATTAAAGGAGTTCAAGCATGCCAGAAAAATTGTTTAAAGATGTTTACCTCACTCCTTTATTCATCTTTTGATCAATTAAATGCAGACTTTCATTTCAAACTCCATTTCATGCAAGTCAATATGGTTCTTATAAAGCATTGTTTCGCAAGAAAATATGTTTAGCTTTGCAACCTTGACTGTATTCATCATGAAATGCACTTGTGGATGCTTAAACAGGATCCCATTTAGACAACACACTATAATTTAAACCCACACATTCTTTAAACTGGATCTCTTGTGCTTTGCGTTGAAGACACAAAGTAAATTAGGCAAAGAGGTAGTCATTTGCAACAAGCCATGTGAAGTAAATCATATTTTAGAATACGTAAATGAAGCTGTCAAAGCCTGTTAACACACTATGAGTAAGGCTTTCTGTTGCCTGACTATGATTTGTGCTGTCTTTTGTGAATTGACTTGGATGTTAAACAGTTTTGCTGAAGTTTTTGAACTTCAGGACTGCTGTTTCAGCACTAGTGGTTTCCTTGGTCTGAAGCAAAACATTCTATGTGTGTGTGTGTGACTCGATGAAAGTGCAGTCATTGACAGCCGCAGTCTAATTTTAACCTGGTATATGACTGCCTGTAATTCATTTATGCTGATCTGTAGCATGACTCAAACCAAGCGATTTATGCTGTGGCCAAATAAAAACACAAGATCGAGAGAAAAAGAGAAGGAGGAGAGAATTACACTGCTTAAACTATCTAAGGAACACATTCTTTTCTCATTTTGCAACCAGCCAACTGAATTGCAATGGAAATCAAATACTCACGAACTCTCTTACCTGCAAGGTGAAACCCTGGTGGAGCAATTAGTGGGACACAAACATCAAAAACAACCTGCTCACTTTTGATATGTAAAGAATGTAATATGTATCTGTACAGCATGACAAACCTTTTATTGTGTGTATTGTAAATATATAAATAATATTATTTTTTAAATTAATTAATTAATTTAATATTAATCCAACTCTTTGATCTATCAAAATAAGACTGCATTTATTTGATCAAAAATACTTTTTTATTTATATATTTTTATATATAATGTTGTTGCAAAGCTGAATGTTTAGCATCATTACTCCAGTCTTCACAGAAATCTTTCTAATAATGCTGATTTGCTGCTCAAGATTTCTTATTATCAGTGTTGAAAACGGTTGCACTGCTTATTTTTGTGGAAACCATAATACATTTTTTTTTCAAGATTCTTGATGAATATGAAGTTCAGAAGAACAGCATTTATTTGAAATAGACAAAATTTGTAACATTTTAAATGCCTTTACTTTCACTTTTGATCAGTTTAATGCATCCTTGCTGAATAAAAGTATTACTTTCTCTCTTTTTTTTCCTTTTCGTGATATTGCAGTGCCATAGGACAATTAGTGCACCTGTTTTCAACAGTGACTCTTTATTAACTTGCCATTTAGCTGCTCTTTACCCAAAGTGTTATGGTACACTAAATGCTGAGAAACTCCTTCGTCACTGATCCTTGAGATAAATGCCATACTCAAAGGCACACTTGTTATATGGTTCTTAATAGCAGGGATTACTGGTGCCTTCACAATCAATGTTTGCATCACTGACCACAATGGTCAGGTTGTCACCAAATGATCTCCCACGCTGCTTATTTTCTCACATTTACGCTTGACCTTATTGTTTACAGGTGCGTGAGAGTGGCGTGTTGCAGTCGCCTGCGCTTTATGTGGTTCACTCTGATGTTCCTGACAGTCCTCTGCGTGGCGCTGCAGATGCTGGGAGTCGTCCGACAGGCCAGGTTGATCATGTTTTACAAATAATGCATGGTGACCTATACATAGCGAATTATAAACAGATTGAGAAAGACTTTCAATTTAGATTTAACAGTTTGCATTGGACGATTTCCATTAGGGGCATTAGAAATATCATGACAACATTACAAACTTACTACAAACGTTTATATTATATTTATTATATTATATTATATTATATTATATTATATTATATTATATTATATTATATTATATTATATTATATTATATTATATTATATTATATTATATTATATTATATTATATTATCCATTACCATTACCATAAGGCAATAAGGTTTTTTGACAAAATTAATCTAAATATATAATAAGTATTATAAACATATAAATTATATAATATTATATTATAAACATATATACTGTATATATATATATATATATAATTATTAACATATAGAGGGAGACTTTTTAACTCTTTATTTAGATTTAACAGCTTTCATTGGATGATTAAAGTCAATGGCAATATCTTGACAAAATTACTTAGTATAAACTAAGTATTATAAATATATATTTATGTAACATGGACATTTATTATATTATATTATAAAATACAGAAGGACACTTTTCAAATCAGATTTGTGTTGGTTCCATAAGGGTCAGCATCTAAAATGTACTGTCTCTTTCTCTCTCTTTCTCTCTCAGGAGCGCCAAGGTTTTGAAACTTGTGAGTGAGCAGCTGGTCAGAATGCCTGCAGAGATCCACAGGCCCATAAAGCGCAAAGACTGGGAAAACCTTTGGTCTGTCTCAGCAGCCGTTGCTGAGGAACCAGTGGACCAGCATCCTTTCATACAGAGAAGAGATGAGAGTGAAAACCCTCGTTCAGAAGAGAGAAGGGAACAAGTCTTGGAGGATACAAGAAAAAAGCTTACTAGCACCAAAAAAGCAGCTCCACCAATAGAGGCGAATAAACTCTGGCTTGGCCAAGAATTTCCAAACCAGCCACAGAGGCCAGCTTTCCCCAAAAGGACCCCAGAAATGAAAAAACCACCACACTCTGATGACAATAATGATAAATATAGAGTAAAATCACAAGCTGACAACACTGTCATGTGTCAGCCCAAAAAGCACATCGTCTTCCTCAAGACACACAAGACTGCCAGCAGCACCATACTGAACATTCTCTATCGTTATGGGGAAAGCCATAACCTGACATTTGCCTTGCCGCTGAACATGCACAGCCAGTTATTTTACCCAGCATTCTTTGCAGCACACTTTGTGGAGGGTGTCAGGACTCGCAGTGTGAAGGAGTTCCACGTCCTATGCAATCATATGAGATTCAGCTCACAAGAGGTCAGTCCGAGAGCACAGTACCCGTACTATTGGACCAATAATAGAATATTCATGACATTAAGTCAAGACACTACAGGCACAACATTATGCAAACTCTCACGCACTGGTCAATTTTGAGATTTTGGGCTTTAAGCTTCCATGTCTTCTTTCAGACTAGTGGACAGAAAACATCCAAAATACACCTTTAAGGGTTTATTTTGATACACTTTATCTATTTGTGTCTGTAGATTTCAACTACATATCTTTAAAGGCCATTTTCTCAAAATGAGTTTTCTCATGTATTGAGTCAGAAATCTCCACTTCAGAAGCCACTACCAAACCCATTTTATTACTATCTATATTGTTTTGTATGTATAAGGTTTGTTGTTCATATATCATTCGCCTGATTTAAATGACATTTTAGTCCTACAACCAGTGAAAACTTTTTTTCCTGGTTGTTGACAGACTTTTTCTGATTTACAGTGTGATAAAAAGAGATATCCCAAATTACCTCTGTAAAACCCTTCATCTCTAATATGTGACCAAAACGAACCAAGCAATTTGAACCTAGCTTTATACAATTTTCAGATTTCTGTTCTGCAGAGGTATGCAAATGTATGTATATTTAATTATATAATGTCCCATTTGCATATTTAAACAACATTTCAGAAAACGTGTAATATAAAACAATTGTCTTAATGTACTGTGATTAATCAACTGGGGAATATAGTGATGTCTATTACTATTATTAAAATTTTATTATTAAAATTTTGACCATATTCACCTATAGTGTTTTGTCTTTAAAAGTAAAGAGTTTCAACAGAAGCCCTTAAATGCCAGGGACTGAAAAAAAAAATTATAGTAAATATTACATAATAGATAATGCAATGCATTAAGACATGGTAACTGTTTTTGATTAAATAAATAGCATGATAGGAGTTTTTTTTTAATCCTAATGATGCATGTGAACAGATAGGCTCCAGATAAAAGATAATGCTTTCTCTTGTTTATTTTTATTTAATTTTTTTAAATTTATTTAGTATTCTGTATTTATAATGTTATATTTATTTGCCCTTATATATAACTGCACATACCATTAAGAACCGTTGAGGTGAATATGTTTGCAACTTTATCAAGACTGTGGTGTGAAAGCAATCCAAGATATGCGTAGACCACTTAGCAAGCACATGTATCATTTGATACAACTGACTATTTTCATTTTCAAGAGGAAGACGAAGCACCCAGTGCTTTATGAAAGTAGGCAGGTGCAGATCTGAATGATTTAGAAGACATTTGCACTGATTGCATGTAGATTGCATTCTGGGATGGAACTTCTGTTGAGCAGAATGTGTTTATGACTCTGAAACAAAGAGCAAGAGGTCAAATTTTTATCGACTTGTACTTAAACAGTGATGGAAATCTGAATAAAATATTTTATTCATAAGTTCATATGGTCTTTTCTGACTTGCAGGTGAGAAAAGTGATGCCTAAAGACGCATTCTACTTTTCCATTCTTCGGAATCCAGTGGCGATGATGGAATCCCTGTTTGTTTACTACAAAGCGATCCCAGCTTTCCGTGCTGTCAAAAGTCTTGAGGAGTTTCTGATCCAGGGTGGGCGGAGCTACAACGCCTCTGTGCCTAATAACCACTATGCACGTAACATTTTGACCTTTGACTTTGGTCTGGATAATACAGCACCTGAGAACGACACCGAGCTGGACAGACGTAGCGCCGAGGTCATCGCCGCCATGGAACGTGACTTTCCGCTAATCCTCATCTCGGAGTATTTCGATGAATCGCTGGTGCTTCTAAAACATGCCCTCTGCTGGTCACTGGATGATGTTTCATCTTTCCGCCTCAATAGTCGCAGTGAACGCTCTCGCAGGCCCTTGAGCGCAGAGATAGCAGATCGAGTAAAAGAGTGGAATTCACTAGACTGGCGATTATACCAGCACTTTAATGCCACTTTCTGGAAACGCATAGACTCCACACTTGGGCGGACGAAGCTCCAACAGGAAGTTGAACTTCTGAGGGCGAAGAGGAGGAATCTTGAGCAAATGTGTCTTCAGGAAGGAGGGGCAGTAGATCCTGCGCAGGTCCAGGATTCATCACTGAAGCCGTTTCAATATGGCGCAGCAGTTATTCAAGGTTATAACCTCCGACTGGAGTTAAATAATGACACTCGTCAGCTTTGTCAGAGGTTGATTACACCTGAACTACAGTACACCTCAGCTTTGTACACCAAACAGTTCCCTCAGCTGGCAGCCGCGCGTGCCGCTGCTGCAAAAAAGATTGCGGCTTCCAGAAACACTGCAACACACAGAGCTGTTAAGCGCAATATTGAGACAAATGTTCACACAGCAATGTCGAACAATACCTCACATAACAATACAAATAAAGCCATTGTGGATGAACATAGCTTACACATTTTAGCTAACTCTGTTGTTCATAATGAGAGACAAAACAATTTTGATGCAAAAAAACAGTATAAAGAAATAAAAAGAAACACATAAACATACCACACAAAAACAGTTTATAAACTCAAACATACATAAGGAACCACAAGAACCTGGTTTACTGAGATGAATTCATCAATTAGAACTCATAACAGAAATAATTAACTAGGGAGCAGTCAGAAATGAACTCATTAAAAGATTTGGCTGGCAAAAAATCTCTGCTGTCCAACGTAAATAGTGTAACAATGTATGAAGCACAGCTCATATAAAAGTTACTTTCAAAGCAAGCAATGTTTTGTTGGTGAACGCAGGACATTCACGTTACCAACTTGAAAAAAAAGGGAACTTTTTCGCCCTTGCTGACTCCTGATTTTGGGTATCGTTTAAATTTGATCAATTCCGATTCTACTTATCGATTCTGATTCTTATCGATTTCCAGTTTTGATTCCAATGTGGTTAAAAAAATGAAGTCAAACATTTAGATATCAAACAGATTTATTCTGTGTCTCTTTTTGCAAAACATTTAATTGCTGCTGAATACCATGAACAAAAATCAGCCAGCTACATAAAAACTGGACTAAGAGCTGTTTGTCTGCAAGAGCTGCTCAAGTCTGGATAAATTGAGACTTTCTTTTTTTTATGGAGGTTGTAGTTCTCTCACAATTCTGAAGAAAAGATATTAGCCAACTAAAAAAAAATCTCATGGAATTTATGAATGGAATGATTCAATGACTCAAGATTACTTGTTTCATTACTGGATGAATCAGTGTTTTTGAATGAATCTCTTGAATGAATGATTCAAAGACAAATACATTTTGAACAGTCCCTTTTCGCCACCTAAAAAAAAAACAGGAATTGATAGGTGGAATTGAAATTTTAATTTTACAACAAGTATCCGATTCTGGAATTGGAATTTATTTTCGATTCTCAACACTACTCCTGATTCCAATCGAACTGACTGGATTTTGACCGCGAAATTTCGTTGATCAAAGCTAAATGTGACCGCACATTTACAAACAACACCGTTCCATTCAGTACGGTTTATATGTATTTGTTTCAATGCTTTTAACAACTGTAATCATCACAGTGCAATGTTATACAGGTTTAAATTGTTACCACCCAGTGAGCAGTATTTCTGCATCGCTTTTTCAGCAGCTGCTTTCCTCCCGTGCTCAATCTGCAGTGCTACAGCAAAATAAATCATATTTTTACCAGAATTGCAAATTTGAGTTTGCTGTCTGGGTCGAATGTGATGCAACAAAAAGAAATGTTTTGCTATTGAGTTCTCACGGACTGCTCGTAATAATATAAATACAGTACAACGATACCAGTGTAGTCCGATTCACGAACAAATTACTCTTATGAGCTGGTTCTTTTTGTGAGTCAAAAATATACGGGATGACAAACCATTGACTCCAACGATGAGATGGTTATTTTTAGTGAATCAAAAGCATATATGGAGACCAGTGTGGTCCAATTCACGAGGAAATGACTCTTATGAGCAGGTGCAGTTGTTTAGCGAATCAAAAACATACATCCCAACCGGAGTCACTAAAGAATGAACCAGTTCTTTTAATGAGTCTTTCAAAAGGACGAATCGTTTGACGAATCATTCACTGAATTGAATTCAGAGAGACAATAAATCAACATCTGACTCACTTACTGAACTAGGCCTAGCTATCATTATTTATAGTGATATCCGTATCAAAATGAATCAAGGTTTATGTCTTGATTTTTATATGCTTTTTTTTGTTTTGTTTTCTAAATAGGCTTAATTAAACAAAACTTGTTAGGAATGGTAGCCTATTATCAAAGTTTTGATTTAAATATTGTGTCTCCATATGACATCTATTAATGTATTTCTGCTTTACCCTCCAGCAAAACCAATAATACCTAATTTGGGCTCTTAAAATATCACAGGCTATGATTATGGTGTGAGACAATAATAATCAAGTGTGATTCATTGTCTTAGAAGACTAAGTAATGTCTCGTTTACCTTGTTTGCACTTTCTCTTTGGACATAAATCATCTCATTTTTATGAAAATGATTTTCCATTTGTAGACCAGAAGAGGCTTATTGTGCCTGTTCAGCTGTGTTTTGTGTTTTGGAAAATGCAAAGCGTTCTGCTCAATATGGCTAAGCTATTTCTCTAAAACCAATGGTTCGAGTTTCCAGTGCGAGTCAGAAGTTTATATAACATGGATAAAGTGTGTGTTTGGCCTCTGCAAAAGTACAGATTCAGCTCAACTAAGTGTTTGTTATAATGCTAATTGGAAATTGACCTATACAGCAGTATTGTGAATAACTTGAAGAATAGGCATACACTTTGTAAATCCAGCTTAATTTATTTTTGCACCATGTGGCTTTTCAATTTGATTTGTTGTTAAATGTCACTGGAACAAAGTGGAAACTATATGTCACTGGCATTTTCAGACACATGAATCAAAGCCTAATGCAAAATACACTGAACGGATCTATTAGATTTTTCTTTGCTATTTCTGACATTCCGGTCTTAGAAATACAGTGGCCTCTGAAAGTATTCAGACACTAATACTAAGGACGCAAACTTAAAGTTTGCTAGTGCTGTGGCATAGTTGTGCACAGGACAATAAGAGCTGTTGGCTCAGGTTTGAGTCTGACCTGGTTCATGTCCTGATCCCATTTTATCTTTCCTATCTGCATTCTGCTGTCCTATAAATAACGACAAAATGCCCTAAAATAAAATGATATATAAAAAGAATGTATGAACTTCACTGTATTAGATAAAAATATCAAACCAGGTGAAATCAACAAACAAAACATATTAGAATTTTCTCAGAATGAACTGATGTTAATGTGATGTTTATGAAGTCGGGTTTACGCATCAGATCGATCACATGTAGTTCACTATGAACCTGATCCAAGTCTAAAAGTCCAAATAATTTGGCTTTATTGGTTAATTCTATAATTTAAAGTCTAATATATGTCATTTCATACAATAATTGAATTGAAAAGTGAGCTTTCTTTAAAATGAACACTGCTTGGTTTGGTATTTTATTATGCAACACAATGACAAGTGTGGTCGTGTAAGTGTTCAAGTATTTAATGGAGCCTCTGTTTCTCACAAGTGGAACCCTAACTAATGTAAACGTTCTGTATTATGATGGATTTAATACAATGGCCATCTACAAAACCAGTCTGGAAATCCAGTGCATTATTGAGGCCAATTTAAATGAAGAAAGCAGTCCATCTCAATGAAGAAAGCAGACTTATGCTAAGGGCTAATGCTGATTGCCAAGTTTTACCAGCCCTGAGTCTCTGAAGGACCTGGACCTTGATCATTACCCAGAATGACTTACCAGCCTTCATAAAAGATTATCTGAACCAAAGTCTCAGAGCTTTAATCTAAATTTCTCTTTAATGTTATAGAGCAATATACTGCATATGTGTGGCACCTTATTTCAAATCTCTGAAAGCTACAGTGCATTTGCAACTGTTTCATATTTATTAATAAAAGATGATTCTCTGGTGATGGTTGTCTTCTCTGTACAAAACAAGCATGAAGCCTGCTTTGTGCCATGAGTTCACATATTTTCTAGTGGAATGAGTTTTGTGGCATTTAAGTCAAGAATCAAACCAACAGTCTTGTGAAACAGTGGAGTTGTCACGCACCCAAAAGCCACAGAGCAGAGGAGCTGCTGTGTTTGAAGGTTAGCGCTCACTAAGATGTTTCTCATCAGTGTTGTTAAAAGAATGTGTTTGGACAGACATGAAAGACTTTTTAATCATCTTGGATTTTAGTATGGAGATCTGAATTCGTCACCTGTAACCAAAAAAAAATGCTTGTATCCACATGTTTCAACAGCACATTAAACAAGAACACAAGCAATTCATCTGCTACATTAAAAAACAGTTATCGATTCGTGCAGGCTGCTATTTTCATTAACTAGCAAAACCACCAAATTTACACAACTACAAACTGATGTTTAAAACAAACAGTAGCAGTTAAATTAAAACAAATTACATTGTCTTGACCACTTTTAAAGGCTAATTTTTAGCTCCCTTTTTAAATTAAAATAATTATATATTGGTTATGGGTGTCTTATTTGTATTATAATGTGCATGTGTTAAAGTTACTGTGAAATATTTTAATATTAATCATCCATCCACGAGTCCATGTGGTTGTGGAGTCCGTGCACTTAAGGCTGTCCACACTTTAAGATGAGACTGAAAATAACATAAAATAATATAATATAATTAAAATAAAATAAAATAATAAATTAACTATAATATATATATATATATATATATATATCTGTGTGTGTGTATATTATTTTGTGTGTGTGTGGATTAGCACACAGGGTGCACACAGGGTGTGTAGCACACAGGGTGTGTTTGAAGCGTCTAGCACACAGGCTGTGTGTGAAGCGTCTAGTGCAGTAGTGCAGTGACGCTGGTACTTCAGAGGAAGGGACGGGTTACACCTTCTTCTGGAAAGGTTTCCCTCCAGGTAGACAACATCTCTATGGAGTAGGATTTGCCATAGTCGCCGTTCAGCTGGGGGGCCGTAGAAGCGATATAAGGATCAGATGAAGAACATCTTGAAGAAGTGTAAGATCAGACCCGAGGACCTGGAGGATGTTGCTGCTGACCGTACCATCTGGCAAAAGCTGTGTAGAGATGGGGTTCATACGCTGGAGATGGAGAGGACAATCAGAAGACAGCAGAAGCGAGCCAGGAGAAATACAGCCATGGCTGCCACCACTGCCATTACTACTACCATTACATACATATGCCCCACCTGTAATCGAGTGTGTGGGTCCAGGATAGGACTGTTTAGCCATCAAAGATCTCACCGATAAAGGCGTGGACGTCGTCATCGGATTCGATGGACAACCGAGAGAGAGAGAGAGAGTATATTATTTTATAGTATACAAGAAAAAATTACACTCCATTTGTTCAATAACCACACTTAAAAAATTATAGGTGAACTTTTATTTTGTGTTTGTGGCAATGCTTGTCTCCACACTTTTAGATGTAAATAACCTTTTTTTTTAACCTCTTTAAAATAAAATATTATTATCTTTTTACTGCATATGATAACATTGCATTCCATTTAACCATGCATCAAAATGACAGGTGAACTTTTATTTTGTGTTTGAGAGTTTTTGTGCCAATAATTGTATAAAATAAAATAAAATAAAATAAAATAAAATAAAATAAAATAACAACTTCAGTAATAATAATAATAATAATAATAATAATATAATAATAATAATAATAATAATAAATCCCCTATAATAAATTAGTCATACTACATTTATTATTATTATTATTTAATTATTTTAAAACACTGTTTACATGATAAAAACTGCATTCCATCTGTTCAATAACCATGTATAGGTGAAACAACTTTTATTTTGTGTTTGAGGGTGTTTGTGTCGACGACTGTCGCCCTCTTGTGGAGACATTTGAAAGTACTTTAGCGCTGAACTGCAGCTGAAGTTGCTGCAGGCTCATGGCT